AGCCAAAAGAAACAAACCCACTGTCAGAAATTCAAGACTTGTATCCGGTACTTTACAAATAGCCATCACTAAAGGTGTGACATGTAGCACTTCTTTTTAGTTACCCTGAAGATGGAGGCCTGAAGCACTTGGGACTTTTTCATTATTGTACTTTGGGTTTCCCAAATCCAGGGCTACATCCTAAAGCTCAAAATGACTGAGTGCTATGTGGTAATAAAGTGAGCAGAGGAGCGGAGCCATTCCTTCTACATCTGAGTCTCAAAGTCCCCAAATCCTACACTATTTCAGAACATGGAGTGTGTATGTGACCGTGTCTCCCGCATATTACAGGGAAGGAACAGCATAAGAGGATGAAAAGAAAATAAAGCATTTCTTTACCTTTTGTTGTGACAAAAAAACACATCTTTTAAATGAATGCCTAGCAGGGACGGTTGTTATTTTTATACCTCAAAGCACCAGGACTTCAAGATAAATCATCGACCCTGTCAGGATAAAAGCCTACTGTATTACTTTAGTTTACATTTCAATGGCATCATTTAGTGCTTTTATTAGGGTTTGTTTCCCACCAGTATTGTAATTGCTGCAGAATCTCACGGCAATTACATAATGCTGATATTTTTTCATTATGAGAAAAGAAGCCGAGAAGTTTAAATTATTATTCAATGATAGTTGCTGCTATTGTGCTATGCCTATCATAAAACATCACAAGGCAAACACTTACCTACTGTATAAGGATAATTGCACAAGCTAAAACACCGAACTGTTCTCGCTGGTTTCAAAATGCTGCATTTCTGAAGTAATCTAGCATGATGACAGTTTGAATTGTGTTTAAGAATCTGCGTCATTGCTAAAAGAAAACATACTGTAATCTTAGATTAGTTAATTTTTTGCAGTTAATCACCAATCACCAGACCCTGCATTACTATAATTCTATTTGCCAATCACATTTCTTCAAGTCCTCAACTTGTGTGGGTTTCTGTGTGTGGTATCACCTCAGTATGAGACAAGCCTACTCAATCTGCAACCAATCCAATCCACACCACTGCAGTAGTCTGAGGCAACCAATTCCTGCTAATTATGAAATAATTAAGGAGCTAAAGGTAGCAAACTGGTGACCCTTATAAATGATTAATTGCATCAGTTGGATATCTGTCTTTTCCAAATCGGTAAATTAATTTATAAAATAATGGCTACTTTACTGCTAACAACAGTGTTAGGCACAGACAAAGTGAGATTTGCACCCTTATTCTGTACCAAAGTGAAATGCTGATTTGCAGAATCAGGCAAGAATTACAAGGATAAGCTAAAACAGTTATTTCCCATTATTCAGACAAAGGCAGTATAGTGTGCACAGTCCTATGATAATGTGTGCTTGCAGAGGATATGTTTGTATTACATTGTTTTTTTTTAATTAAAGACACTGCACTGGAAGCAATGCTTACATATAAGCCACAATAGTCAGGTGACAATGGCTCACTTGAATAATGATATCAAGTTCGCATAGGAAAGAGGTATGACACAACCCATAGCCCAAGGGCAAGTATCCTCATTTATTTATGCTTCACAGGGTAAAGAGGGAGGTAATGCTTCTTTGTAGCTGTTTTTGGAAATTGCTTTCTCTGCCAAGCAATAAACATCAGAAATTTCAGCCCCCTATACAAAGGTTATTTTTGTTCTCAACAGACAACACTGACATAAAGCAGACAGATTAAGAAAACGTTGGACACCATTAATATATGCTGTATATAATTTTAAAGAAAATATCTTTGATCAAACTCCTTGAACATACAGTGCATCAGTTTTAAAAAGAGTAACTGCTTTACTCTGTCATTGCCAGATGGAGAATCTGCATACAGCAGCAGCATTTTCTCTTACCATTCAAAGTTTTGAACAACAGAGATGAAGGATAAAAATGCCATAGACTGATCAGTCAGATGCTATTGCATTAATATTAAAAAACATGTAAAAATGAAAAAAAAAACTGTTGACACTAAGATTACAACAATGTAAAGTTGATCTCATTCCTTCTCTGGAAAGAATATAAGACTTGCCTTCTCTCTCGTAAGTGTTTCCCAGGGGACTGACTTTCTCAATTTTTGGTGTACAGAGCAAAAATAAATCACGGTGTATCCCCATGATACAGATATTTCTGAGCAGGCAATTTAATAATGCATTTAAGATGAAAAAAAATAAACACAGTCATGTAGTATCAATAACTAAACAATTAACATCGGTGGCGGTCATTTTGAACACATTCTTGGTGATAAGTTTCAATTAACTACTTCTCCAAAACCCTCACATGTTGTTTCCATAGGAGCAGGCAGATCGCAGCACTTATCACTAGATAGGCTGTGCTTTTAGATCACAGACCACATTTCCTACTTTAGAAAATGTAACATCTGCCAATAAATTATTTCCATCCATCCATTTTCTTACCACTTAACAGACAGATTAATTATTAATTAAATTAATAAAAATAATCAAATGTGATTATTTGCTTATTTGTGTTATATGCATTGCTGTATGAAAAATATTCTGGATAACATTTTGCCAATTTAATGTTGATTTTGCTTCAATTAAATATTTCTTTACATTACCATTCAGAAATAAGTTGGAAAACAAAATTAAGGTACTTAATGGAATTTATGTGTGTTGAATTCACTCCCTTTATCATCATGGTCTGTACATTCTTTTAAAATATCTACGCCCTAGAATGAATATTTTATTTTAATTATTAGACATACAGTAAACAGACCAACAGAAAATGGATAAATGTCACCCTTAGTACTGTACAGTTTAAAGACAAAATAGTAATCATATTAAAAATGCACACACAAATAAAATTGAACCATGTATTTTGTAAATATTTCTTACAACAGCTTTTTAAATATCTTTGCATCCACATTCATTTCACTCTGTGTTTGACAATAATCTGATTTTATTTAATGGGGCTCCTTGTCATTGTGGATCCATCTTTTAAGCACTTTCCATGACCCAGGTTGAAGGAAAGCTGGTAAATATCACTACATGAGCTGCAAATAACATATAAGGAAAAGCAACATGATAAATAAAGTTTGAATGCACTTGAAGTTTACAGATTTACAAGAAGCTACAGATACCTACAAGCCAAACTCAACAAAATGCTAAAAAGTCTTCTCAGTGCTGTTGCTTTTGTTCTGCTATATGACTATGTTTATTTAATTTGAATTGTAAACATTTATCTTGGTTTTATGAAAACATCAATATATCTGCTTGTGGGGTTCAGCTTCCTTTAGATTTTTTGGTTAAAGAGGACACATTGGAAATAGATTAGATTGAGATAAAGCCACATACCAGAGGGGACCTTGTTCTCTAATCGCACAGTATTTTCGGTGAAGATCAAAGACATTTCAGTGTTTTCTGCATAGAAGCTTTGCTTGAAAAATGAGTGTTTGACAAATAGATTGGAGTTCAGACATAAAGTGAACAACAAAAACATTTTATTAACTGAGCTTGAGATCTCTTGGGCATTTAGGGAAGGTTTTTGTCTTATTCTGGTTTTTCTTGTAATGCAAATCCTTGTTACTTGTCTTGTAGATTGTACGATTGTATTATGCTACAGAAATACAGTCAATTTAGACATTTAGTCCTGCAAAACTTTTTTTGTGATTGGGGAACGTCTTTTATATTGACAGCATTTTGTCTAGCATTCTTAGCCACTGATCATTATTGCTGTTAAAGAAACTTTTCATTTATTATACTCTGTACTGAAGACAATAGGCATTTTTTAAAGACGAATTAACCATTATTCCCATTGTGCTTTCCCTTCATCTCACAGTAGTATGAATATTGATTATTTTATGCTTTCAAGTTTGTAGAGGGATGAAAGAAAAATAAAGGCTCCATAAGACTCAGTGGAATAACTTGTCTTCAATAGTGAGAAAAGCAACATTTAAAGGATCCGTGATAATGTATGGGATTTTTATTGGCCCAATTAAAAAAAAAATGAATGTTTATTCTGGTCGTGAGGGTTGACAGAATTACAAAACAGCTTCAAGATTTTGAAAACCAAATAACTTTGTAACTGGTAAAGCATGCAACACAATTTGTTGATACATCAACAAGTACATTTAAGACACTAGAATATATCACCTAAGCATAAAAAGTATAGGAAAAAATAAAAACAGCCAAAAATAATAATTATTTTTAGCAATCTCAATGTCAGATTATATTCTGCCCCTCCATATCCTCTGCAGCAACCTCAGATACTAGTACTGTACATACTGTATAATTCTCTGTGTTTCAAATCACAGCACCATTGTGACAAGTGCAGTACTGCACCCACTGGGATTCACCCCCCAGACATCGGCAAACACCAAATAAACAACCTGTCCAGGTTCCAATGTGATTATGTGACTTAAGTACCCTGTTACATACGACCTTGGGAGTCTGTTGCAGACTGCTGTGTTTTCTAAGCCTGGTTGTGGTTCATCAGATTTTCTCTAAAGAAGGAAATCTTCAGCCCTGGTACTAGAGAGTCCCTGTCCAGTAGACCTGTTTCTATATTGTACATTGGAAACACTTGTAAGTTCACACGTTTAATCACTTAAACAACTATTTTTTTCCATTAAGAAAGGGCTGAAGAGTATTCATGTTTGTGTTTCAAAAGACTTCTAAATTGTTTAATTCAAAATATTTAATTGGTTGTAATTGAAATGTTCCACAGCTTCAGAAATTAATGATTTCACGGTTGCATATAAAACCTGCAGAACAGGACTCTTTAGAACCCATCTTCCAGAGCATAAGTGTTCCTCTTGTAGCATGGTGACAAAACTGAATACAATATTCTCAGTGAAATGAAATATACTGTATCTAGGCCAATTTATAAGTATAACAGTGCTCCTGCTGATGAAAGCTTTTGTGTCTGTAAAGAACCTCATCCATACATCAGAGCTGTTAGCTCAGATCCAGTGAAACTGAAACTGCAGTGGTGTCCTCACCTCCTTTTTGTTTGTTTGCAGAAGCCTCATGCCAAGGACTCTGGACAGCCAGATCACCATGGAGAAAACTCCCAGTTATTTTGTAACCAGGGAGGCTCCCAGACGCATCTTCAATATGTCTAGGGACACCAAGCTAATAGTGGTGGTGCGTAACCCTGTGACCAGGGCCATCTCGGACTACACCCAAACCCTGTCAAAAAAACCCGACATTCCCAGCTTCGAGGCCCTGGCCTTCAAGAACAGAAGCCTGGGGCTGGTGGACACCTCTTGGAATGCCATCCGCATCGGAATGTATGCGTTCCATCTGGAGAACTGGCTGCAGTACTTCCCCCTCTCGCAGATCCACTTTGTGAGCGGGGAGAGGCTCATCACCGACCCTGCCGGAGAGCTGGGGAGAGTGCAGGACTTCCTTGGCCTCAAGCGGATCGTGACCGACAAGCACTTCTATTTCAACAAGACGAAAGGGTTCCCCTGCCTCAAAAAGCCGGAGAGCAGCAGCTTACCCCGCTGCCTGGGCAAGTCAAAGGGAAGAACGCATGTCCAGATAGACCAAGAAGTCATCGAGCAGCTCAGAGACTTTTATAGACCATATAATATCAAATTTTACGAAATGGTAGGACACAACTTTAGGTGGGACTAGATTCATGTGGTTTGGAAGCTTACTCGTATGCACCATGCAGAAGAAAGATAAAGCAAAGTCTTCCTTAAGTATTGGCTGTCTTGGTCGGACCTCTACTCTGCCTGCATGAGTGTAAGCCAATTGATGGCTTGTAAGTTAAGCAACGGTTCAGATATGCATTATAAGTCTTCTGGTGCAACCAGTTTTTGAATTAAACAGTCCAGATATTTGCTAGAAGATTAAATGGGCTAACAAGCTGTGGTTTTAATGTAATTGATTGGTCTAAGTTCATCTTACAATCAAGGATATTCCAGTACTGCAAGGTAAAGTACATTCTCCTGCTGAAGAGCGACATACCCTTCACATCATAAGACACATTTTTTTCATGGTTTCCGAGATATAACTATTAATAAATTGACAAAGATTGGAATTTTGACCTCTGGATCCTTCCATCGTCAAGAGGAAGTTATTACAGCTGCTTATTAATCAGTACAGAATTTTGTTGTTTACCATGAACCTCTGCTGTTGTATCACAATTTGTGCACTGTAACATTCGTTATTCAGGCAACTAGACTGCAAATCAAAGGCCTTTCACATTTTTGACCAATCCCCAAAAACAAAAACTAGAATTGGCACTGTAAGTTAAAGTGCTTTGAAAAAAGTACCTTTATTTCCGAAGAGGTAAATAATTAAATAATATAGCCATGAAAATGGTGATGTATGCTTGAAAACCTGTCTCAGATTTTATTGTATTGTAACAATATTTTGTCCTGTGAATAAAGCACAGATTTATGCCATGATAAACTAATGATATTTGTTTTTTTCATAATGGGAAAGAATTTCTAAGCTTGATGACTGAAAACTTTACTAGCTTCTCCTCAAAATGTTTTTTTTTAATGGAAGAGATGAATTCTAAAAACATGATTAATTAATCATGGCCTATGTGGTACACCAGGACATAATAAAATGTGAAGAGCAACTCAGTAATTATGATTTTATTGTTGTTGAAAGCTTCCCAGGCCATCCTTCAAAGCAGCAGAAAGGTCAAGTTTAGTCAATTAATTTTCATTTCCTAAAAACACACTCATACGCACATGCTGGTGATAAATAGGCAAGCACGTAGTGTATGTAGAATGTGTAGTCAGACCTTAATACCCCAATCATCAACTCCACACCCTGGGAAAGCCCCACTGTGCTACAGGGCTGGGTTTCACCCGAAGATTGAAGACTATTGAGAGTCTTGTTAAGTGACATCACTATAACAGCCTCATCTTATCCTATTTCATCTCTTGCATCTGTATACAGTAGATTATGTATGCTATAGTATATATTCACAAAGTTGTGGACAGTATGTATTCAATACAATTTTTAGGATGATTTTGTTTTCATTTGGCTGTTATCAGAATTCAAAACTTTGTTATGTGGGACATTAAGAGCAAAGGTATTTTTATGAATCTAAAATGGGAAATGCCAAATGATATATTTTTGAAAGCTGGCATCCCAGGCACTAATTCAACGGCTGGTATTCAGCATGGCATCCTACAGGATGAATAACATGAAGCGCTTATTGTTGAAATGGATTATCGGAGTGAAAATTCTGTAGTGAAAGAAGTAGAAAGCTTGTAGACAGTTCTAAATTGGGTCTTTGGCAGCCTAGCCTAACTTTCAACTATAGAAGTATTTAAAAAGCCCTTTCTTTATCTCTTCTTAATATCCCTGGAAAAAGACTAGCTTGGCTAATCGTGTCACCTGATCTGAACAGGCAAGTATTATAAATTGAAATAAACTGTAGATGAAAGATTGAATACTCCAATCTAATCTTCATACAATTGAATATTTAAAGGCAGCAATAGAACATTATTAGGTTTTTCCTGACATGCCTCAGTGTACTGCTGAATTTGTCGAAACAGAGGTTGGATGGAAATGTGAATATTAATTAGCTTTACTTTTTTGAAGTTTCTTGTAGCTCTGACATTGTAACATTAGACTCCATTTTAAGAATTTTCATAGAGGATCTTTAATTCACCAGAGAGATTTTAATTTAATTACCAGAATCTGTTATGAGTTTGGCTGTGTAATATGACACTAAAATCTTGTCTAAACATCTGCCAAATATCAAACACTTATCTACATAAGTAGACTTTAAATTACAAATTGACTACGTAGTACTAGGAGAAGGAGATGCTAATGATAGTGTGTGAACTCCACTGTGCAAAGGCTTACATACATCAGAAGTTACTATATACTGTATGTTGTTCGCTTTCACAAATTGTTCAAATCCAAAAGTTGACTCAAAGCCTCCTCCAGTGTTTTCTATGACTATTATAATTATTTAAGTCACTCCAACCAACCTGCAGCTAGCAGAGACAGGTGGCTAACAACTAAAAAAGCATCATCCAGGTACTAAGAAATGAAATCCCCCCTATGTTTAAGAAGCAGCACAAAAAGACATTTGATTTGCTACTGTAGTAAAGGAACAAGTACAAATATTTAATCTAACAGCCTTTATGCTACTTTCTCTTGAACTGTCTACTCAGTATCTCATTGGAGAATCAGAGGAGAAAGCTACCTTCAATAATGGTAGAGCACAATTTTCTTTTCCAGCATTATTTACTTATAATTACTAAAGCTGAAATGCTGACTTTAACTTTGATTCCCCAGCTGTTTCTAATGATAGAAATCCCTAGTGTTTTTAACCAGAGACTGCTCAAGCTGATGTTCTTGTTTCATTTTGGCTATCTAATGAAAATGACGTGTAACTATTTAATTAAAAACCGGAGAGCTCTATATCTTTTTGGCAAAAGTTCAGGAATAAATGCTTTTGTCCTTGCTGTAAATGTGAATCATGATTTCAGTATTTTTTTCTGAGTTACTTTTTTGTGCACAAAGGTCCTATTTTTAATACCAAATATATCCCATTCCACCATCAAAAAGAAGCATACATCATCGGATCAGGAAGTGCTAATTACAAAATGTATTCTCATTTGCACACCTTTGATTGTTGCAAATTTGATCTCAAGTGTACAGGATTTAAATAAACATACAAAATATACATATTTAATATTTCACTTCTGCATTTAATTAACCTCCTCAATTTGTTTCTTCTTCCATGTTATGCTTGTAAATATTTGAAATTTGTTATTGCAGTTTTATTTCCAATAACAACTACAGTGCACAGCTCAGAGCTCATTAGCCTGGCCTGTATCTATTTCACTATTTTAAAACAAGACACCAAAATTACATAGTGGTGTTTTAACTTAGTGAAATGTCTTCAAAGTATGAGCAAGGTGTTAGAAACAATACTCAAGCCCAGCTATACAGTGGAAAGTAGTGTGTTGTGGATGTTTTATATCATATATCATTTCACTTAAAGGTTGCACTTTGCTTTACTACTTTTAGCAGTTTGGAACACTAAAGCTCAACCACTTACACATTCTGTTAGAAAAGACTGGGTAAAACGTAAGAAACAACTTTTTAAGCAGCCAATTATTAAAATAATTATATTCCAAAAATTCCACAGAAGTCTTATTGAAATAAAACCAATGATAGTTATTCACACTTCATTATGTATTTCCAAAACCTGAATTGTGTTGACATTAACTGTTAGCAGGATCACTGATGCTTTTACAAAGCCCTTCAGAAAACAGTACATATCATACTCTGGAGTACTGGCACTTACTAAATTAGGGCACAGTTCCTTGAGCTCTAAGCCTCATGAATTAGACGCACCACTGGGAGCTCTGCTTCAGGATCTGCTGGTTCCACTATTATGAGCATGCTCGTTCTTCCCTTAACAAGTCATTGTTCTCTTTAGTTTTTATTTTTGCCACAATGCTTTCACCTGAAGCGTCCACTCTTAGCCAAAAAATTTTGAAAATTCTAATGATGTCCCATGAGTGGAAAGCACTGAACGTTTTAGCAAAATGAGGAATAAGAGAAGTCCTACTCTTTCTTAGACAGAGAGAGGGTTCCTACTCCAAAACTCCTGCAGTGAACACAGAAAGCTTGGTGGTTACTAAATGACTGAAAACAGTGGACATTGGGTCTTAAAGTTATTGCTTGTGGAATCTGGATTTGTTTCATATACTCAGTTATGTTTTCTTTGTGGTGATGCATTCCCTTGGACCAAAAGTTTGATTGCTCATTTAGACTTATACATTTAAACAGAAAATCAGTCATGTTGTACATGAAACATATTCACTGTTCCTGAAAGTACTAAACTGAGGTTTATGGTTTGCCAAGAATCACAGTGTCTAAAAGGCAATGCAAACACAACAAATTAACCAGCTCCTATCAAGAATCTCTTGAGCCTTTATAAGGCACACATTACAAAATGAACTATGCTGAAAAATGAACAAGTAGTAGGTTTATTCCACGCTGAAAAGAGAAGAAAGAAAACTCAATGTTTCGGCCATTAAGCCTTCTCCAGGTGTGAGAAAGACAGGGCAGTAAGCAAAGGTAATGTAGCAGAAGAACAAAAGCTGGGAGAGAGGAGGAGAGGGAGGCGGGAACAGGGTACACAAAGAGTTTTTTCTTTCGAGCTTCCTGGTTGCGCTAGTCCTCCTTCTACCTTGTGTCCTTCTTGGCTTTCAGTTTACGTTTTTTTCCCCTTTTGAGTACAACTTTTCGGATCACGGCTTGGCTTCGTTACTCACGCTCTGTTTTGGATCTCTGGCTTCCCCTGGACTCTCGGCTCGTTCCTTCGACTACGGCTTTCTTTGGATCACGGCTAGGCTTTGTCAGCTCCTGCAAGTGGGTTCATTCACTGGTTTCGGTTTCTCTTACCAAATCCGTAACAAATTAAATTTATTTTTATCTAGTGCCTTCACAATAAGGTTGCCCCAAGGCACTTAACAATGCAAGTGACCCTACATTTTGTCAATACAGAACAGAAGACCAGAAGACAATGGAGGAGAGGAACCAAAAACTCCTTAGTAAAGAGAAAACAAACCTCTCGGGGTCCAAGGTCAGCTGGTTGCCCAACTCCTTTGGGCATGCTAACGTTATATAACTTTAAAAAAAAGGAAATAAATGAATGAGGGTATTAATCCATCCATCCATTATGTCTTCTGTGTGTAACCACTCCATGCAGATCTCTGTAGACCAGTAAATTCCTCCTACACGATAGCTTTATCCACGATGTCTCTCTTGGATCCATTGTAGAGAAGCAGCAACCAACTTAGATGGTGCCCAGCCCGGGAGCCAACTGGACATGTGGGGAGAAGAATAGGATAGTTTCGTCAGAACAGATGTATCTACCTGGTGGGCCAACATAGAGACACACGATGGCATGTACAGCAGCATCAGCAGCCATGGATGCAGCAAGCTACTGTATAATGTAAGGTGTGAGTAGGCTAGGCTGAATTAATAGGTCTTTAGTTTGGATTTGAATACTGAGATTGACTCGGCAACTGCGTTTGTCCAGCATGTGTTTGAGGGCTGTAAGACCGTGATTATGGGGAATGACAGAGTAAAGAGATGTGATGTCCATGGTAAAAATGTAGCAATCGGGGCCCTGAAATTGGAAATCATTAAAAAGTTTGAGCGCGTGGTTGGTGTCCTTGGTGTTTTAAGGAAGACCTTCAACCAGTGGTCTCATAAGGCTGTTGAGAAAGGCCGAGATGTAAGTAGCTGGACAGTTGCATGCTGATACGATGGGGCATCCAGGGGTGCCTGGTTTGTGGATTTTGGGGAGAAGGTAAAATGTTCAATGATGAGCCGGTTCGCCTCCTGAGGAAGATGATGGATACCACATTCTTATCGTAGTCAGTGGTAGGGTCCTGTTGGAGAGGGAGGTA